TTACCGTCAATCTTCTGGTTGAGTTCTGCTAGTGGCGGTATGGTGTAGTATTCAGACCTAGAGTAACAAAAAATTGGGGACAAAAACATTATCACAGAACACATTAATTTTAGCCAAAATAAAAAAGTTTTGATGTCCTTGGAAACAATAAAAACCTGCATGTTCTATAAAAATTTGCAACAACAACAACAACAACAACAACAACAAAATAACATTATTAAAAGAGCCTTTTTCCTTTAAGTACATGCAAGGGGTATGTATACATGTAGATAACAGTTACCATCTTTAACGCATGTAAACATTCTGTTATTTGATATTTTGTACCCTACACATTTCAACAGTCATTCTCAAACTCATTAATAATTCATCAACTTTGCACAAAGAAATGACCGTGACGGTGTTTGGATATCTGATCTTAATTAGCATAGATTTTTATGATTTGTATTTCTCTGTTTTCTCCTTAGTTTTAGTTTCGATTGAGAACACTCCAGACACTCCAGACCGTGTTTAACCACACTTCCAAACACCTCAACGTTCGTCAATAATACTATGTTGGTCATCGTCTTTTCAACTCTCCTCTTGGTGTTTGGAAATGTGGTTGAACACGGTCTTTTGTGTTTGATATATTACATCCACAACACCTGTAAAGAATTTTTAGAGTTGTGGCATGCACAACAGAATTCCTCTCAGCCTCGTTTACCATCCTGTAGGCATTTCAATATCTTCACAACAACAAAAAAAAGCACTGTACATGTGCAACAGTACATCTTTTTTTTAATATTAAACCTTGATTTCAAAACAAGTCATAACTCAAAGATGATTTAGTATTATTATATGGCATGGTAGTCTTGTGGTAAATCTGAGCGTTCTGTGTGGTTCTTTCTTGGTCAGGGTTTGGCCGTATGGAAATGGCCATGGAAATAATCATAAGCTGTGTGTTCTTTTGTTTTGTGCCATGTAATAAACTACTTACTAACCTACATGTAGCTTGCTCAAGTCGCACTGTGGAATATTGGCCCTTGGTCATTTTTGTTGCACTCAGTCTGTACTGTCACAACCAAGGGCCAATATTCGCCTGCATGGCCCTCGCGTTTGGTTAGTAAGAAGTTATTATTGCTGAGCATCTGACCTTTTCAGAATGATACCACGCAATTCTCTAGATGAAGTCTCAGAAGAGGCATGTTCATCAACCACATCTTCATCAACCACAGGTCTCCTTAACTTGACCTCAACGTCAATGGGCATTTGACGGGCATTCAATTCAGAGATAGTGGTATCTGCCGCTTCTCGTTCCACAGTGTGAGAGAATCTCACTCCCATTGGACTCACACCGTCACTAGTATTGGCTGGCTCATCAGCTACTTTACCACGCTCCTGCACTACACGAGGCGTGGGAGAGCTCCTCATGGGTGATGTATCTTGTGATGGGGGAGGGGAGGGAGGGAAGGGTGAGGAAAGGGTCGCTGGTAAGTCCTCATCTCCTTCCAAGGAATGAAGTTTAACTCTGGTAGTGTCAACCGCTGGCAGTGGCGAGTCCTGGAAAGATGACGTACAATGT